TGAATTCGTCCCCACAAATGTTCGGTATCCCATTAGGTAAGCACAAAAAGAAGCCTACTTGCCTGGCGTATTATTTGATTAACAAATATATATGTAGACGGATCCAAGAGAAGGGGTGGGAGAGAGGGAGGGGAATGGGAGACGGGGGCACTTTGGCAGTTTTTTAGCCACCTGAGGATTCTACGGTGTTTTTAATCAGGCGCATCACCATTTCCTCTTCAAACGCTGTCATTTTCACGTTGCCCATGCAGGCATTGGATATATTCCATTAAAAATGAGGTTTAGATTTTAAAATTACCGATCCAAGCTTTTTGTTACATGTTTCTAGACTTCATCCTGTTTCCCCGCAACTGGAATCGTGCTTGAAACGTCTGGAGAACTTGGGCATTGATCACAATATTGAGGATAAATTAACACGATTCGAAAATATCATAACCAAAATGCATGATTTTCGTACCAGGTAAACAGTTTCGAAAATCTCTAATGAAATGTTAATAATGAAAATGTGTGGTACCACACTTAATTTGAATTTTTCCGCTTAGAATAATTATTTGTTCGATGGTTTGGTGATCTGTTAAAATGATAAGTAATACTGACGCTGCCGAATTTGAGTTTTTCCTAATCCCTCATTTCACGAAAGGATTTCTAAATATGAAATATGGAAAGTAGAATAAAAGGATTGGGCTTAGGTATCATGTTTAAAAAGGTATTTAACGATGCATTCTCCGTGTTTCATCCCTTAGCTGTAAACACAGACCGAATTAAGCGTGCAGGTAGGAGCGGGAATCATCAGTACAGCCTCCCAATGGAACCATTATTCTTCCTTAATTGCTAATAATGAATATTTTATCATTTCCAAATCACGATTTCTGCCGTTGCTATGTGCACTAGTAGCCTGTACCACAAATTCCAGTTTTAGTTTTTACTGGAGTACTGGAATAACAAGAAATAATATGGAAAACAGCAAGGAAATCGAAGTGATTTCCTAGTTTTGGATAAGGATCGAAGGGTATAACATAGTTGCGAGAAGTGTGTGAGACCGTCGATATGAATCTTTGCACAGATTGCCTGGATGGCCTTGGTACTTTTGATAGGTTTTTGGTAAAAATTAGAATCGAAGGTCTTAGCGATTTTAAAATTTGATCGAGAACGACGATTTTTATTCAGCTTTTTGAATCTTTCTTTATTTTCGATGTGTAAATATTGAATCAGTTCAAAAATGTTTAGCCTGGGTGCTGCTTATGCCAGTGAAAACAATGGTACCATCGATCTGATTGGATCGAAAGTGAAATTACGAAAATTTGACCTAAGTAATGGTCAAAAAGCGACATGCGTAAAGGTTTGTTTTTGGGAATTTTTGCTTTTTTTAAATCTCCAAATTCTTTTGTAGCTCATCTTTGTAGTGCTGAAAAACTGAGGATCCATTTAAATGTATACCGCCGGATTCTGAAGTATTGTGTTTGTTAAGGTAAATCAGTTCAAAAGTCAAACCCATCCCGTACTCGCTTTTTATGAGAGGCGAAGTACTTAAGCAAAAGACCATGTGGTAGCAACCACTCGCTAGCAAGACTGTCGATGGCTCCTTCTTTCCAGAGTTGCTTACAAGCAAACTGATGGCAGGTTTGACTCTTTGGCATATGTCAGTACCAATTTACCATCAAAACGAATGAATGAATCATGGAAAGGATGGTTTTCCGACCGGCAAAGTCGACTTATTGCATGACAACGGTACTTCCAGTGGCGCCAAGTTCATCGATCCTGAGGTGAACAGTACAGAATAGGGGATTTAGCATAGCTGTTTTCAGCGTCTGGATGCTGACGAGCCTCTCCAAGGGATGTGTTTAATTTTTAACAATGCGGAAATGTTGGGGTTTTTTTTAGGCGACCACTACGGATAATAAGGTTATTTTTGAATGGAAGAATATTTTTGGCAATGGTACAGCATTAACGCCAAATTTTGCTGGTTTCTCGGAGTTGCCGGAAGCGCGAGACACGCTGGAATGCGTACTGTCCACGTCGGGATTCTCGAGTCTTGGAATCGATCGCACGTTTGCTGGTCAGTTTTGTGTTCTTGATTTTAATTTTACGAAACTTCAGATTTTTTTTTTTTT